TTTGATGACACCAAAAAATTGCGACTCAACCACTTGTAGGATACCTAACAAACATTTCAATGAAAGGAATCGATTATTCGCAGTTCAAGCAGACATTTATCAAAATAACAACACTACATGGACCCCTCACAAAAACTATCTTTACGTAATGCCAAGGTTACAAAAAAGAAGCTTTTGGATTATCCGTAGGACCTACTAAAATGTGAAAACAAAAATTTATATTTAGCAGAGTTAGCTAGAATTGAACATAGTAAGGCTCTGTTTGAATAAATTTTAGTGTTGAGTAATTAATGTATAACAATATCAGTGATTAAATGACAATGACATAGGATGATGATGGTAATTTTTTTTTATATTTGGATAATTATGTATTAATGTATGTTAATGACAGTTGTTTTATTTGGATGATAGAATGGTATAATTATATTTTCAGTCAAATTACTAATTTACCTATGTTTTATTATATGCAATAGTAAATGGTATATAAGAACTATGTAATGAAAAAAAAAATTATATAAAAATATGATTAAATTTGTATTTAAATAAATAATTATTACATATAATCAAATTAAATTTTTATATTTGATAAAATAAATAATTATTATTTATATTATCACATTAATTTAATTTTAATAAAAAAATTATTTATATATTAGAAACAAATAGTTGTAATTATATATTATTATATTAAATCTAAAATTATTTCAAGAACTAAAAAATTAAATTGTGTTTGAAATAATCATTTACCACAAGTTAATTTATTAAGCATATTTTATGAGTATAACAGAAAAAAAATTATCTGTCCATCACATACTACCGATTCGGTAGTTTTTAAAATTCATTCCAAATTTGCCAATCGGCTTCGTTTACTACCATCTCATTAGGTTGGAAGTTAAAACAAACAGAATTTTATCACACCTGTGAAATATTGTACATTAATTGAGTACCATTTACCACCAAACAAACGGGGCCTAAGAGTTCTTATTCATCTGAGGTCAGCCTAATTAACCAAAAAAAGAAGTGATTAAAGATTTAACTGAAATTGGAGTGCATAAACCCATGTTTAATTTCAGGAACAGCAAAAGCTTCTCATGCTTAGGTAGGTGCTCCTCAAGAAGACGCATTTGGGAGCATTTTGCCGCAAAAGCAATCAGAGGCATGTCAGGGTTCTGGCTCATGTGTAGCCTAGACCTGAACTTGTGACGGTTGTAGAGAAGAATGAGGGATGAGAAGGAGAAGAAAATAAATGAGAAGGAGAGTAGAGGGAAGAGAATGATAAGGAGAGAATAGAAAGAAATCGAAAAGACTGATAATATTAGGTTTTTCATTAGGAATCCCAATCTAAGGTACAGGATTATATAAGGAATCACGCCGGCTGGCCAGTACAGGTGCCAGGCCGTGCATAACGGTTTTGTCAGGACGTATACAGCGGCGACGAATATATGAAAATACAGAGAAAAGATCTTGCCTTATCCAACAATTCGAAACTCTAATTAATTAAGTTCCTTTACTGGTTCCTAAACCAACTAACTTGACATTACATTCCCGCCAATCATGATAAGTCATTCACAGTGGCTGTGAATATATGAAAATACCGAGTAAAGATTCTGCCTTAACCAACAATTTAAAACTCTCTTTAACCAACTTCCTTTATTGGTTCCTACACCAACTAACTTGACATTATATTCCCGCCCAATCATGACAAGGTATTTCAGGAAACCTAAGTGTATAGCAAACAACTATTTCAGTTTCAGCTAGGTAAAGCATGTTATATATTTCAAACAGGCTGGAAATGCTGAAACGAGTTTTCTAGACTTCTAAAAAAATAGCCATATTCAGCTCATATTGTTCCTTGCAGCTGAAGGACTTTTAAACAATTTGGCTAACAAGCTCAAAAAGTATCACAACTAAAGAATAATCTGAGATGAAGGAAAAAAAAAAGCTTAACTGGCCTTTTTATCAGGATCACACTCCTATAGCATTATGGTTGTGTTCCTAATGAAAGCATGATGAGCCCCTCAAAGCTCATAATGGCAAGAAAAGCCATTTCAACTAGAATTTTCACCGGGATATTAACGTTAAAATCCTCTTTTGATGTCGTTCCAAATGAGATCTTCTAATTATGTTCTATAAATGATGATTGGTTGACGCTATTACAGGCATTATTTTTATAAATATCGGGATATCTTGCCTTTCCCAAAGTACCTTATGTGACTTGGAGAATTTAAGACTTCTTTTGGTACAAGAAAATATTTCTTGGCGGAAGGTGATCACTGCCAAGTTTGAAACTGATGATGAGGGTTGGAGGGCAAAATAACATAGAGATCCATATGATTCAAGCATTTGGAAGAATGTTAATATGGGTGGGGTGAGTTCTATGATTGCATGAGAATGAGGATCAGCTCTAGGCATTGGATAAGGTATGATAATTATTGAGAAGGAGGGACCTTACACCAGCACTTTCCTAATGTAGTCTAACTAAAAGAAAATAAGCAACCATAAGTGAGTTATTCTCTTCCCCTTCTAGCCAGGGAGTATAGGCTATACTCTAGTGAGAAGTTCAAATGCCTAAGAGATTGTTGAATAAGCAAGCCTTCTTCAATACCTCTGCTTGCCACATTTCCATTTAGATGGAAATCATAACTGTTCCGAAGTTGGGCTCTACTTGTGCTTTGAAAGTGAAATCATCTATATGCATTGTGCAATGTGCATTCTGGCATGACCCAGGAGTGATTTCTCCAAGAAATTTCATCTGGAACACAGCACTTCTTCTATAATTGCCTTCTTTATTTGGGAGATAGCGAAAGGAAGGATCATCCAGCATAACTCAAAAGTGATTTCCTATTGAAGCTCATCTGGAAACTCAATGTGTCTCCTAGAATTGCCTTCTTTATTCTGGCAGCAGTAGAAGTACCACTGATTTTTTAAAAAAAGAAAAAAGATTGTCACCATTAATAATCTTCAAAAGAGGGAGAATGTCTAGTTAATGGTCTAAAGGTGATTGAGACTCCAGATCATCTCCTTTTGGCATATCCTTTCTCCTTCCATCTTGGTGCATAGCCCTTGATTCCTTACTTTGGGTTGGGCACTGGAAGGTTCCACAGGAGAAGAGATTTGGGGCATGGCATAGCATCTGGAGTAATGAGTGCAAAAAAGGTCATTTCTGTTTTTGAGGGCTTAGTTTCTTCCTTTGGTAGAGTTAGAGCTGTTTGGTTCCAATTGTTGTACTTTTTGTTCAAGGGTCGTCCTTTAACTTCAGATTATAGATATTCTGACTGGTTTTCCAAAGCTTTTATAATTGGGTTGTACTCCATGGTGCCCTCTTGATACAAGTATATTCCTTGTTTCTCAGTCCTAACACACATTTAATTTGCTTAGCCCTTCCACAATTTTCCAAACCAGTTTTTATTCTCAGAAAAGACTTAATCTTGTGTTATACTGATCTACTATAGCATTACATATTACCATCTGAAATGGAAAGCATAATCCTAAAAACAAGAAAAGCATAACAAGAGCAGCCAAGCAACAATCCCATCCCCATGGCACAAGATGCATTCATAGCATCAAATATTGAACATCAAGAACAAGAGACCCGCCTCAATTAACATATTTTCACAACTTATTGTCTCTAAATTTCCAGTTACATCACCAAAATAACTACATAAATATTGAAGAAAAGAAAAGTAAGGAAATTTAATAGGGAGGAAAAGAAAAAAAAAGAATTACTCCCGAACCGGCTTAAAGAGCATAAAAGCCAAAGCTAAACTAATGCCGCATCTGATTCAATTTTTTCCAAACACCCAGAACGTTATACCAAAAATTTAGCCAGAAAGAAATCTTCAAAAAAGAACCCAAAGCCCAAAAAATAAGTCTTAAATTATCATTATGAAGACTGAGACCAGAGCATAAGTGAGATGAATATGGAAAACTAAAGCAGAAGTGGCAAAATTTAAACTGACGGATCAAAGCGAGATGGAAATTAATCTTTCAGAAAATAAATTGTAGCGGAAAGAGGAGTAGCTTTAGTTACCACTTTAAGTTGATCAGAGACGAGAGCTTGGATCTCTTGGAGAATGCCTAGGGTTTCGATTTGCGCCATTTCGTTGACAGACAAGATTAGGGGAGTCTTCCCTCTTGTAAGGGCACTGATTTTCCCGCCACTCTCTAGCGGGAGCTTTAATCCGATGATCGAATCCGATATGTTTTTGGCACGTGATTGATTACGGTGTCACGTGACTTGGTGTATTTTTCATAGATTATTTAATTCTGGACGGATAAAACATCCTAATATGATACTTTTACACGTTTAAATGCGAAATTAAACAAATAAGATTTCGTATTAGTCTAATAACCGATTAAATATCTGTTTTGTCAAATTTTGATTATATTCATGTGAAATATTTGACTTGTGTAATTTGTCCGAATAATTTTTTTTATTAATATTATTATAAACAAATATGTAACACCCTGAAATTTTGAAATGAAATATGTGTATTAAAAAGGTCAAATGTGGAAGCGAAATAAAAATTATGATTAAACATCCCTTACACTAAAACCAAAAATGTTCTCAAAGTATAAAAGAACAAACTAACTAAAAGAGAAATTCGAAAATAAAAGCTATAAATATGACTACGGAGTCTTCAAGCGTCCCCTTCGCCGTCTTCTTACGAAACGGGCTCGGGAACAATATCTTCCTGATCTGAAATGATTAAATAAGGAATGAGTTACACCAGCCCAGTAAAGACATCACACTATCTCACCGTCACGGAGGTAAAGGTGGGTAGAAAATACAAAAGACCAATGGAGCATAATTTACAACAAATTCTTTTATCAATAATAAAACTATCCACTTACCTCGGTGAAATTCATAAAATAATATATGAAAGCAATAACATTATCATCATCATAAAATCATAGGATCTGTATAACATAATGCTTATCACGCCTTTTGCATCTCAATTATGACACAACATATTTTTCCTTATTTACCAGCCTACTAGTATCCATGGGGACCCATAGGGGTCCCGCTACCCGTGAACCTTTAACACTTGTAATCAGATTCCAAGGCCGTCCCCATACCCCGTCTGGTATGGGCGCCAAAACTATAAACTTCAATATCTCGTCCGGTATGAGGGTGAAACGGGCCGTCCCCATACCCCGTCCGGTATGGGTGCCAAAATACATAAGGTCTCCATACCCCGTCCGGTATGAGAGACCACAATCCCGGTAGGGTTCCCTACGGACCCGGTCCATCCACCATCTCCCAGGATATCTAGTCAGGCTGACCATATTATACAATTATCAATTTACATAACCTTTCATTCCCCTTTTCCTCAGTCAGCATCATCAAATCACACACAGACAAGCAACCAGTAATTCATGCCAAATAAACCAACATACAACATCGGATTCTCAGTCATTCAACCCGTAATCAATAAAACAGTGATTTATGCACACGAAACTATGAAATGAGAACATCAGACATCATACTGCATTTAAAACTATAAAATAGAACAAACAACAACTGACCAACAAATACACCAGACTCGGGCTCTATTAGCGACCTTAAACAATTTCACACATCTACTGATTCATGAAACACCGTTTTATCATTTATTGAACTTTAATACCGTGATAGAAAATAAGGTGAGAGGTCCTTACTTGTTTCGGGGTCTGAACACGGCTCCACAGTGCGCCTGCAGGATGTCCCTAATTTTTCCTGAATTTTTCCCGGGGAACTGAAACGCACTACTGGTACCTGCACGTGTCCCAAAAAATCCCAAATTAGACCCAGGGCCCTTTTCGGCCAATATCGCAATTCCGGCACGGTGGCTCCGCCGTGCTCCAACGGCGGCAATTCGCCTTGGGTTGGCCGTTTTTTGCCGTTTCCAATCGAATTCGGCCACATTTGCATCGGTCATTATGATAAAACAACCCTAGGGCCCTCGGGGGGCCAAAAAATTACGAAAAACTGAAGCTTTCCGACAGCGGTGCTCTCGGGTGCGACGGCTCTCCGGCGAGGTTCGTGTTTTGGTGATTTAGCTCCAATCAACCTGTAGAGAAAAGAATGGTGATCACGGTGATATAAAAATTGTATCAAATGGAGGCCGGGAATGGCCTCATCGGAGGCAAAAACTGAGGAGAGGCGCGGCGGCGCCGCTGGGTTTCGGCCGTTTAGCCGGGATTCTGGCTCCGATTTGGCCACATGGGAACTCAGCGTGGAAAAACGAGTCGGGGTATGAAATTTACCTCGATCGGCGGTCGAAAAACTCCCCGGTGCGGCGGCGGGTGGCGACGGCCGGTTCCTTCGGCGTCTGGTTCGTCTTCTCTGGCGAGGGCAGGCGGCTAGGGTTTTTGTGGTCAGGTGTGGGGCTTTTATTTATACCCTTTTGCCTTTTGATCACAGCCGTCCATTTTGGTTAAATCTGGACCGTTCGTTCTTGATTGAATCTGGACCGTCCGTGCACGTGCATCTGGGCCGTCCGTGCGATTGCATCTGGGCCGTCCGTGCGCGCGGGGACGCATCTGGGCCGTCCGATCGCGCGCACGCGGATCGCTCACGTGGCTCGTTCCCCGGTCGATGTGGTCTTGCCACGCGGCAGGTCCTGGTTGGCCAGGGCTACTGACTGAGCTGCTGACGTGGCGCTGACGGGGCACAATTTTTCTAAATTGCGTTTTGACCCCCGGTTTTCGATTTTCTTTTCAAAAATACCCTCAGAATCCTAATTTTCACCCCTTTTCCCAAAATTAATTTCAATTAAATCCAAATTATATTTTCACCTAATTTTACAATTATTATTATTTTTATTATTATATTAAATTAAATTAAAATAAACAAAATTAATAATAATAATAATAATAATAATTTAAAATTATTTGGGCGTTACAAAATAATTATCAAATATTATTATGGTAAATTATTATGTAAAGTAAATAAATAAATATTATTAATATTAACATATGAATTTAAGTTTATTAAAATTATTTTTAGTTTATAAAAATAAATAAATAATTATTGTATATTAATAAATATAAATTATTTAAAAGAAAAAACTAACACATGTTAATTATCAATTTTTATATATTTTATTAATTAAATAATATATATTAATATTAAAATAATTTTTAAATAAAAATAGAAAAATAAAATATAACTTAAACCCTCCATTATAAATTAATAGATATCACAATAAATTAGTTTCCTCATACCATTTAGGCTAGTATTGTAATGACTCCGGAAATCAAAAGAAAACGTATATATAAAAATTCTAAGTGCGGAAGTGAAATAAAATATTATGATTAATATCTCTTACACAATAACCAAAACATATTAAACGTATGAAAGAATAAGTTAACTAAAGCAGATACTAGAAATGAATATTATAAGAAAAACTATAAAATCTTTAGGCATCTACTCACCGTCTTCCTTCGGAATGGGCTCAGGAACTTAGTCCTTCTGATCTGAAATGGTTAAGTAAGGAATGAGCTACACTAACCCAGTAAATATGTCACACTATGTCACTGTCCCAGAAGTAAAGGTTGGTAGAAAAAAAAATGACAAATGAAGTATAATTTATAACAAATTCATTTATCAATAATAAAACCATTTACTGTCCACTTACTTCGGTGAGATTCATGAAAATAACTAATGAAAATAATAATATTATAATATCATGAAATCATACGTACTTTGTAACATAACATATGTCATACTTTTAATATTTCAATCATCAGGCAATAAATTTCATTTTTTACCAGCCTACCAGTATCCATGGGGATCCATAGGAGTCCTCGCTACACGTGAACCATTCACCTTAATAACTTAACTCCAGGGCCGTCCCCATACCCCGTCTGGTATGGGCACCAAAACCATAAAACTCAATACCCCGTCCGGTATGAGGGTGAAGCGGGTTGTCCCCATACTTCGTCCGGTATGAGCGCCAAAACATTTAAAGTCTCCATACCCTGTTCGGTATGATAGACAACGTTCTCGGTAGGGTTCCCTATGGACTCGGTCCGTCCACCATCTCCCAAGATATCTAGTGAAGCTGTCGACTTATCCATTTATCAATTCACATACTTTTTATATTCTTTTCTTAGTTTTCTGTTTCTCACATAATCATGAATATTTAAACCAGTAACGAGCATCCAACAATATAGGCATATCATCGGATTCACAAAATCAAGCAGTAGTGAAGCAAACAGTGATTCATGCATTCAAAACCATAAAATAAATAGATCAGACACCATAATGCCTTTAAAACTGTAAAATAACTAAAACAACAACTGACCGAAAATATATCAGATTCGGGCTCCATTAGCAATCTTAATTAATTATACATATCAATTAATTCATAAAATACTATTTTATCATTTATTAAACTTTAATGTCGTAATAGGAAATAGGATGAGTGATCCTTACTTGATTCGAAGTCTAAAATCAGTTTTTCACTGTGCCTACGGACAGTCCCTAGATTCTCTAAATTTTTCTCCGGGAACTGAAACACACTTCCGGTACCTACACATGTCCTAAAAAAATTCCAAATCAGACCTAAGGCCTCCTCGGCCAATTTTAGAATTCTGGCACAGCGGCTCCGCCGTGCTCCGGCGACGGTGACGGCGGCGATCCGCCTCTGGTTGGCTATTTTCGGCCGAATTCAACCAAACTAGCACCAGTTCCTGCGAGGAAACACATGTAGGGCCCTCGGTGGGCAAAAAAAAATAGAAAACTGAGACTTACCGGCGGCGGAGCTCTCGGGTGCGGCGGCTCCTCCGACGCGAGTCGCTATTTGGTGTTTTGCTTCGGTCAACTTGTAGAGGAAAGGACGGTGGTCACAGTGGTGTAAAAATTAGATCGAACGGGAATCGGGAAGGACCTCATCGGAGGTAAAAATTGAAAAAACTCGCGGCGGCGCTGCTGGGCTTCGGCGGCATTTTCTAGCCAATTGACCGATGGTTTGGCTCCGATTTGGCCACAGGTGGGTTTAGCATCGAAATCCGAGCCAAAGGGAGAAATTTTACCTCGTTTGGCGGCTGAAAAGTGCTCTGGTGCGATGGCGGGTGGCGGCGGTCAGTTCCCCTGGCGGCTGGGTTGTCTTCTCCGGCGAGGGCTCTGACGGCTAAGGTTTGGGGTTAGGTGTG